AAAGGGTTTTTGAAAAGTTAGTGAGAAACCAACACCAGCAACCATGTCCATATACTATCAGGAAATTTAATTGTCTTCGAGAGGATTTTTGAGAAACTTTCGTTAAGTCTTACCAACAAGATACTTTCGAAGAAAACTCTTCGGGGTTTTTGACTTTTTATATATATTTTTTAATTTTAGATTATACAATGGAAGAAAACATTTTTTTATCCCTTAACTCACTTCAATTGCATTTTATATAATCCGTATTTAAAATATTTTATTTTTACTTAGAAAAATATTATTATTAAACTACTTAAATTATTAGTTTGAGTTTTAGAATTGATTCAATTACTTTTGTAATTAATTATATCTGATAGTTGAAAAGTTCGTATGATTGATTATTTCTTTACATACTTGATTAAGTTGACAAAATAACCAATTATTTCCAATGGGTACCTAATTATATTTTTGTTATTAATCAATTATATTTTAGTTGTAATGGATTATAAATCAATTTTATTTTGCTTTATTTATTCACGTACTTAGCTATGTTACCAAATAACCAATCAGTTTAGGTTTGTATAACCCATTATATTTTAGTTTTAATCTATTATGTTATCAAACAATCAATTAGTTGAAGTTTGTTTAACCAATTACTATATTTTAGTTTGTATTTACCCAAAAAATTATATTTTGATTTGCAAAAAATTATAAATCATATTGTATTTTTATTTATAACCAATTATATATTAGTTTATAACTGATTATGATTATATCATACCAAATATAACAAAGCAAAAAGAAGTATAACCAATCATATTATATATATATATATATATATATATAATTGACTATGATCACAAGGAAGTCACTTTTTTAAGAGCAACCAAACACAAAAAAGTTGCACAATTTTCCACCCTAACAACACAATTTGTCTAGCACAACAATTCTCCAGGCAACTCAATCTGGCCTAAAAGTCTAACCAAATAGATCCTAGGAGCTTATTTGGTTAGAGGGTAAACTTTACTAAAAACGTTTTTATTATGAAAGTACTATATATGAAGTTGATAAATTTAGTAGTGAAATTTTGTTGAAATTTTGGTAGGTTTATTAACTGTTTTGTATTTGATAGAAAATTAATATAAGAAAAGTTAGTTGAAAAATTGTCAAATGAGTCTTATATAGGAAAGTTGGAAGAAGCTGTTCCCTTTAAAAAATGCGGGAAAAAAGGTTGTTTATGGGTTAGGAATTGGGTCAAAGAAAATAAAGATTTAAAATTTCATTTTTACCCTCATTTT